AGATGTTGACGATAGCTAGATGGTATCCTATTAATTAAATATAGAGCGCGCAGAAATCTTGAAAATATAAGCACGGAAGAACCCCCGCCCTCAAGCAATCAAAAGAACATTATTGGCCATTAGAGTGGCGCTTAATCAAATCAGATTTGAATAAGATTCAAATTATTCAAATCAAGCCGATTTGATTTGAATTGGAGCCGAGCAAATCAAATCAAATCGATTTGATTTGAGCTCCGCCAGTTCAAATCAAATCCAGCCGATTTGAATAATTTGAATAAGACCTCAGCGAAATGAACCCAACTCAGCTCGTACTAATTCGTGCACCGCTCTTTCCCTATAATCCCTTAGCATGGTTCCAGCGTTACAGTTAACGATTCCTTATACATTTCCTATTGTTTTTACCCTTTAGCTTTACCAAAGAAAAACCATAGCGCAGGCTAAATCTGACAGATAGAACTGTCTGGCTCAATTTTATATCAAGAACATCAATGCGCCCCATGAATTATGGTAAAGGACACCTAAATGTGCAGAAACGGCGCTACCAAAAATCCTCCGAACCGCCGATTTGCAATTTGCATCCCTGATAAGCCTGTTGTTCAAATCCCAAATCAAATCGATTTGATTTGAGTTGGTCACCCCCCCTAATTCAAATCAAATCGATTTGATTTGAAGTTGATTTTTCGCCCTCAAATTTGCGAATTCAAATCAAATCAATTTGAAGACGATTTGATTTGAATAAGCGCCACTCTATTGGCCATAAATCTCCAAAGAAAACCACGGATCTGATGAGGTCCGAAATTGGCTCAATTTTTCCGTTCAACCCGAGCCTGGTGCAGAAAAAAAACTTAATAGAATCTTCCCGATTTGGCCGGTTTTAACAGAAATCAGTCAAGGGAATGTTCTACACAATTAGAAGCCATGGAATTAGGGTTGTGTTTTGACGCAATCGGTTTCCGATCGATCGCTTTGCATATCCTAAACGATTAAATCGTTGGACGAAAACCGGTTTCCGGCTTCGAACCGATTTAAATCGGTTCACGAGGCAAAACCGGTTTTGGCCAGGCTCGGAAATCGGTTCAAGGTAAAAAACCGGTTTTTCCCGATTCGGTCCAGGAAGTGAAACCGGTCTTTATGCAAATAATATTAATTCTACTCAACTCAGACAGCGTGATTGCTACTTCATTGTTCGGGCTTTACCCGTCGTTTAAGATTGTCTTTTCGGTCACAGTTCTAGATAGGCAAGGTATCTTTTTTGCGCTTTCACGCGCGGACCCGACTGTTGTACTGTTGTAGCAATCACGCTGTCTGAGTTGATCCTACTATATATAAAAAAATAGTGTCTGTGTGTGTGTATGACACTTTGCATGCAACTTCCGTCAGCGTGTCCGGAGGATATCTCAAGAAGGGAAGGGATGAAGGGGGCGTATGATACGTCATTAGACGCGTAATGGCCTGTAGATGGCTGCACGCATACCAGATTTTTCAAAATCGATTGTTTTCGACATTAAAATTAAGTTTTTCCTTAAAAAACGGACATCCTCTTTGTTAGGAAAAAATTAGCATGCGCCGGAAGTGGGATCAGCCTATATAATCGGGGAGAGAGCGCCATTTTCATTTTATGTCATCGGAAATCCAAAAATTATGCAAAATAAAGAACATCATAGGATTAGACGGGGCCAGGGTTGAAAAGTCGCGAAGCGGCTTTTCAACCCTGGTTAGAATTAATATTATTTGCATAAAGACCGGTTTCACTTCCGAGACCGAATCGTGAAAAACCGGTTTTTTTTTACCGCCAACCGATTTCCGAGCCTGACAAAAACCGGTTTTGCCTCGTGAACCGATGTAAATAGGTTCGAAGCCGGAAACCGGTTTTCGTCCAATGATTTAATCGTTTAGGATATGCAAAGCGATCGACCGGAAACCGGTTGCGCCAAAACACAACCTTACATGCAAACGGGTAATTCTGCCCGCGATCCTTCAGGACAAAAGGGATAAAAAAGCGCACTAGGTCTCAAAAATAATGACATTCTCCAGTAACCTTAAAAAAATATTAATTAGATTTTCGAAAACGAATCTAATTTATAAAAATTGGTTAACTGGGCGTATACGAGTTGTCCCCAATTTTCTGCCCACCACCAAAACATCCCGATGCTCGCCTCCCTAGGGCATCCGAATTCTGAATACATCCTCCCGTCCCACGAAGGCCCCCATCCATTAGCGAAATTAATTAACAGCAACGAACGATGAATATCATAGTACACTTTTCGGAGATCGATACCTAAAAGTTCGGGGCACAACAGGGTCCCCCGCATTTTCTGATCTAATCCGAAAAATGCCCCCATGGCCAATTAATGTGGGGATCCCTGGGCTCTATTTGAGCGTGGGATGGGAATTCAGAAATCGGCTAATTTCGGCGAATTGTTGTGGGATTAGGGAAGCGCGGGTTGATCTTTCCTTGATTTTTTTCTCGTCGGTAGCCTTAAAAATTTAATAGAAAGTTTAAAACTACTTCAAAGTCTCTGGAACGCTCAAATAAACGGGGTAATGTTTTCTTATCATGTTTTCTAGAAAAGTGCAAAATATTTTCGAAGAAAAAGCCACTAAAGAAAATACTCTACTTCCGCTAGTTGATTTTAAAGTCGGCGGAGAGGAAGGGTAAGAAAGGTAAATTTGCATTGCTGTTTTTCGATAAAATAAACAATATCGAAAAACGAGATTGGCGTAACACCTAAAAAAATTGGACGATAGTCCGAATACGGGGACAGCCTTCTGCCTTTATAGTTCTATTTCTGTTATTCTTCTCAGAGAGAATTGCCACAAAATAAAATTCAACAAAATTCAGCGCGGCGGTACGTAAACCGTGCGATGCGACATAGGGAATCAATCAAGATCTATTCAACCTCTGTGACTCCGTGACGGTGACTTTGAGTTTTGGGTATGTATGATCCCACATCACACATCTATGAATCGCACTTTGAGGGTTTTAATACGCAAAAGCTTGGGTCCGTTTTTACTTTTATCATTTTCCACGATTGAATTGTTGGGTCTTTAGAGACACTGTATATCCTCAAATTTTGCTGTGTCGAGATTCATTGATCGAAATTTTAAGTCTTCGATGTGCGCCATGTATTGTTACTTTATTTCCATTGGTTGCGAAATTGACGAAAGTAGATCTCGGCTTCTTCGGCGTGTGCGAAATTGAGCTGGTTCCCATCGGCGCTGCGTAGCTGGTAGACGGGATATGTCTGAATCGTTACGTGGAATGAGAGAGAGAGAGAGAGAGAGAGAGAGCGGGAAAGAGAGAGTGGGCAACCTATGTACCACCAACCTTTCCATGACAAAACCCTCGAAAAGCCCTGCGCAACTCGTGCTTCATGTGGATGAGCATCCAGATCTGCAATATATTCTGAAAAGACATTTTGCGTGATGTATAGACTTTGAAGCGTCAAAACCTATAATAGTAACGATTAAAAAAACTTGCCTCGACAACCATGTAATACACCCAGATATAAGTCCAAAATGCCTGCTTGTAAAGCGAGTGGTCGATGCAAAATTGATAAATCAAAAGCTCTATGATAACGCCGAATAATCGGTAGGGCCAAATTCGTAAGAAAAGCTGCGAGGTTTTGAAGTTCATCTGCGTTTTGTATCTAAACTTCATTTCCAAGGAGAATACTAAAGGCAGTTTACCGCGCCTCAACCGTGTAAAATTGCTTTTCATAAACCCTTTTATATTGAGATTTACAAGCTATGTACCACCAAACGAAAAACTAAAGAAGTTAAGGAAACCTTCGTGTTACCTACCATACTTGCAAACAATTGCATAATATAGAAATTTGCATATATCATCCAGTAAGGTAGGAGGCTACCGTAGAAAATGATTGTCATCAGCAAGAAGAGGATTTGCTAAAAATGAGATAACTAATAACACTAGATTAATTCTCACCAATGCAAAAACAATCCATCTCCCGAGTCGATCAGTAGTGTGCCGATCATCGTAATTTTCGAAATCTTTTGTAGCGATTAGACGTTCGATAATTACGGCAAAAATCATGTTAACCGATGAGCCAATCACTAAATTATAATTAATTATGTGTCATTCTAAAAATCCTATAGCATACGCCTAAAAGATACTCACAAAATTCACTAAAAAACGAGCAAATTCGAAAGATATCCGCGTTGATATAACCGGCGACTTGAAGCCCATGACGAGAAAATCGAAATATTTCACCTATCATTATAATACCAGGTTGATACAACAAAAATAGCTTTAAATTTGGATGGAAAATCTTAAATGGGTTTTCTAGATGTTAGGTACTAGAAAACGTGCCTCGGTTTTTGACAATACCCTATAAAAACTCGCAAAGGTTACGCCAAGCCATATGAACAGCAATACCTCGGTTACCTCAAAAAATCCGCTAGAAAGTATGATTTAATTACCATTAGATATGACACGTATTCTTCCATAAATGCCGGATGTACGAGAACCCCGTAGACGAGTCGCATCTTGAATAGCTCGTAAATAGCCTTGAAAAGAAAGAACATTTTGAAAATTCAATCGTTTTTGAAAGGACTTTATACGCCTGAGGAGTCTTGCGACCGTGCTCTGCGATGAGTTCATATGGGAAAAGCGGTTTTGGGGCTGAGAATGTTAGCAAATTATGTGTAGTTTGTGCTGAAAAGTTACTACAGAAACTCTGAGAAAAACTCAAGGAAACTTAGGATTTGACCACGGACCATAAACCGGAGATTAAAAAAGGACGATAATGCATATTATTATTCGCATTTTTAGCATGGGATATCTTTATTTTTAGCTTTTGGCATCGGTCAATAGTTAAATATTTTTAATGAACACATAGCGGCATGGGCGGTATTTTTTGGGTAAGAGGGACGCTCCGGCAATCTTGGATACAAAAAATAATGAGAACAAAGATGAACAAGTCTTCAAATTTTTTGAGGAGAAAACAAGGCTTTCCGATAGTTTGAATTTTTGCTCGTTATTTCCACATATTTTCGAGTTGTCGAAAATAGATTTCGGCTTCCTCTTTGCTGGCAAATTTCAAGCGTCTCCCCTCAGCATTCCGAATATTCGCGTCGGAGATTGAAAACTAAAGCAAAAATTCAGGAAACCAAGGAACCTACGTCACATTGGAACAGTGCCAAAAACCTCGTCTTCAATTCATAGTCCAGAATTATGTAGAGACTGATCTGGACAATGTGCTGAAATTTAGGTATTTAATAATCGTAATCTCAAAGATACCTCAAATATCACCACGTAAAACAAGATGTAGGCCCAGAAAGTCTGGGTGAATTGCGAATGGCTGACCAGCCGCTGGTAGATGAGCAGTGGTATTATTGCAGCGAGTGCTAAACATGGATATTACCACCATACAAAACGGCTACCTTTAAATGGGGCTATGCGAAGGAAGAGGCGCGAAGTTTTGAAGTTTATTTGGGTTTTATACCTACAAATGGGAGCTCAGCCGATTAATAATGATACCTTGCTTCAACCTTTGCATTCTTGAGATGGTACACCTTTCGATACTGCTTCCGACAGGCTAAGTAAAGCCACACATAGAACTAAAGAACCGTCCTGGAATGTACGACGCGATGTTTACCCCATAAGCCAAAAATTGTGGTACATAGAAGTTCAGATAGATCAACCATCTAGGGATTATTTCGAGGTACATGATAAGGCAGAACATGGTGAAGCAAAGAGCCTAAAGGAGAACAAGATATTGGACTTCAAAGCATGATTTGGCTCTAGTACAGTTTTCCCACCCTCCCCCCCCCCAGCCGGCACTCACCTACCGTATCTCGGCTCCCTGTTGATCTACTGGTGTGTAAAGTTTATCAAAATACTCGCCAGAGCAAGACCAACGTTTTGATACACCTTACATGCTTGTAGATGAACAGGGTGCCGAGATACAAAAGTTGGGTACCGGCTGGGGGAGGGGGTAAACTGCACTCTAACCCGTCATTTTTCAAATGTTAAATTACCATCGAAAACGCGATCTTTGCGCCAAGCAAATCTGGCCTTTTGCGGTCTTCATAGGTCGCAAGGTTTTTGGTAGCAATATAACGCTCGAGCGCCACCGACTGAAAAAAATACCATGTCGATTTTCGGCTTAAAAAGTTTTCAGGACTTACTGGCCTCTCCCCAAAAAGATAAGCATTGAAAAATAAATGGATGTTTATCTAAAGCTCCAGCGAGCTGCAGCCCGTGTCGGAGTAATCGGAAAATGGCTCCAGCCAGCACCATGCCGGGTTGAAATAGCAGTAGAAATGTTAGATTTGGATGAAAACGCTAAATCATGTCATCGTTTACGTAAAAGTTTAGCTACCGTACCCTACGCTTGGTCAGTAGATGATAAAATACAAGATAGGCAGCTAACAGAGCAAAATTCAGCGCCGTTTCGACAAGCTTAAGTATTTTTTGACCGGCCCTTCAATACCTAACCAGCATAACTCACCATTAAAAGTGGAAAATATTGCTCAAGGTATGCAGGGTGGATCAATAAACCGTAGCGGGACATTTTGCTCACGTTGTTTTTGCCGAGGGCCAACAGCAGCTTTTCGATTCAATTAGACGATGGGGAAAGAGGGTGAAAGTACGAAACCGCTGAAAGCAGGCAGCTCGAGGCTCCCACGAAATTTTTCGGCAGCGGAGATGGGTTGCATGCGGTTAAGTTTTGTAACGGACAAGTTGCGATACAGATACAGGAACGGGATACAGATTTAAAGGCACACCAAAGTCTTGTTGGGTTGGTCATCGGCCGTTAACCGTCCGCGGGATAGCAAACAGGGTTACGGTAGGGGGATCCCCACGGAGCAAAACCGAACCCGCACCACTCGCCTGGGGCGGGCGGACCGCGGCAAGAACCCGAATTCCTGACCGCGACCTTACTTTTTGCACGAGATTTTAGCGTACCTTCAATGGACCTATTTCATTATCGAACTACATGGCTGCAGCCGCGCGTGCATGTAACTTTTAGAAGCAAATAAAAAAATGGTAAGAAGAATCAAAGCTATAAAATTGTTTATCGCCACATAGTGCGTAATTCTCGAAAATAGATGTCGCTTTCTTCAGGTATCGTGAAGCTGATTTTTTCGCCGACGGCACTACGGAGATCTTGCACTTCCGTTGCCTAAATGTTGCGTGTTACGTTTTGTCATAATTCGGGTACTTTGCTATTTAACATTCGAACAAAACGCTTCCTCAATTCGTGATCACACGAAATAATTAGCCACATATGAATCGTAACCTAAGGACATTCATTTTATCTAAAGTATATATTTAATAAAGTTCACCTGTAGTGATATTTGAAAGAATTCAATGTAAGTGAAGAACGTTTGTACATAGAGTGAATGATCGATGAGGAATTGATAATTCATGATGTTTGCCAGAGAGACACATAGTTTATATGGAGCCAGCCGAAGGAATAACCGAGAGGCTGTGAAGTTTATTTGGGTCTTGAACCTGAAATGACCATACATAAAGCTGATCCTATAGCGTCCGTACCTAGCGTCAACAGTGGCGTAGCGTCTTTGGTAAACATTGAGGTATTTTTGACGGCATGTAATGTAAAGCCATACGAAGAACTAAAAACTTTAGATTGAGAATTTAAGAATAGTGACCGAAAGAATATTTTTGACTTGCCGTGGTTGCGATAAATTGTGGCACATAGAAGTTTGTATAGGGCAGCCATTTTGGTAGTAGCTCTAGATATAGCACAAGACCCATCGCGGCGAACATCGAGGTCTGGAGAATTTGTGTAAAAATCTTCCATAATCTTTAAAATTTCGGAAATTTCTATAATTCGAAATTTTTCTAACAGTCAAATTTTTCCAAAAAGTGGTATCTTCTACTCGTATTAATTTAAAAAGTCATTCGCTGAAAGATAAATATACCATAAAGAAAGCGATCCTCTTCCCCAGACGATTTGTCGTGTGCTTATCTTCGTAGGTCTCTCATTGTTTCGTTGCGATATAGCGTTCAATCGCCACGGCAAAGGTCGTATTCCCAGATGCGCCACCAACTAAAAAAACTTCTAAAGAGTCGATCAAAAACTACATACTTGCTTCACCAAAGAAAGACAAGCATTGAAAAGCCAGTGGATCGGTAAGGTAGCCAGTGACTTGTAGAATATGCCGCAGAAAACGCAGTAGTTCCGCGATAAGAATTAGAGAGGGCTGGCAAAGCAACAGGAATGTTAAATTAGGATGGAAGCGCTGAAATATTATTATATAATATATCTATAATATAGAAATTGATAACATTTTCCGGCTAATAAACAAGTAAGGTACCCTTTTCACTGTCAACACTCGATAAAACAACCGAAAAGACGCCAGTAGCAATAGAAATAATAGAAATTCAACAACCTAAAAACCGTTGATTATCATTCCCGGGTATACCATTAAATGCGGAAAATATTCTTCCATATAAGCCGGGTGGATCAGGATACCATAGCCCATTTTAGCGGAAGCGTAGTCTGAAGAGAATTCGATATCTTTTCACGACCAGTCAAATGAATAATACGCGAGAAAAAGTACACTCTCAAGGAAATACTGTAAACTGGTGTTTCTGTGAAAAACGTAATTTTGAGTGCATTTGACGTGTTTTGGCATTTGAACTGAAGCAACTCATCGACATTTTACAAATTTTTTGTTTTTCGAAATTCCTTCATTTAACGATCTTACAAGCAAAATAGTGAAAAACCCTTAACATTTTGGTCGAAAAAAGGTTTGTACAGAGGATATCTGGCGATCCAAATGGAATTCAGCTTTAATTTTTGGAGGGCGGATTGGAAATAGAATTCTCCCGATATATAATTTTGCGTTTTGCCAGATTTTGTAAAATAAAGTTTTTATGAGCATTTTTCTAAAAATTCCTTAACAAAATGGCCGAAGTGCCGTGGTGTCCGGGCCATAACTCGAGACCCAGATGGAATTTCGGCCTGGAATTTGGACAACTTATGTATTCGATATTGGGCATCACGCGCATCCTAATAATCTTTACAAATTTCCCGCATATTCAAACTCAAAAATCGAATTTTGTAATGGGACGAGTTGGCCTCACTCCGGGATCATTGGGTCGCCCTTTCTTTGCCTTCCCCCGCCCGCATTCCCCGAAACAGAAGAGGGCTTTCACGCCGCCTCTTCCCATCTGGCCCATGGTGTAGTGGATTTGCGCCCGGTCTACCACGCGCATGGTCGTGAGTTCGGTTCCTGGGAGAATTGCATTTTTGCTTTTTGGTAGTTCAGCAACTTGACATTTCTAGGCTCTCGGTATACGAGGTTTAGGCCTGACCCTCGCTCTAGCGCCGCAGGCCAAGAACAGGTCCTTGGTCCAGGCTCTCGCCGCCGCAAATGATGGGTCCTTGATCTTGGCTCTGCGCCGCAGGCCAATCTTGGGGAAAAACCAGTAACTAGCGCCGCAGGCAAAGGTTCTAGCGCGAGGTTTAGGCCTGGCTCCGCTCTAGCGCCGCAGGCCAAAGAAAAGATCCTTGGCCAAGGCTCTGGCGCCAAAGAATGGCTCCTTGATACAGGTTCTTGCGCCGCAGGCAAAAAAAAAGAAGGTATTCAGATTCATGGTTCCTGGACGGGGTCCAGTGGAAAAGGGCCGCGAAGCGGGCTTTTTTCACTGGTGAATAATACGCGAGAAAAAGTACACTCTCAAGGGAAATACTGGTAAAACTGGTGTTTTGTGAAAAAAACGTAATTTTGAGTGCATTTTGACGTGTTTTGATTTGAACTTAAACAACTCATCGACAAGTTTTACAAAATTTTTTGTTGGAATAATAATGAAGACAAATGTGTAGACAAGGATGTTAGCCATAAGCTTTATTCAGAGATCCATAAGCTTTGCTTCTTTCTGGAAACAACAAACTCTCTCCCACGCCCGCAACCCCTGTAGTCTGAAAGTTCCGTGAAAAACGTCTGGCCAGAGTTTTCCCCGACCGCATCAACCATAAATGAATTCCATGAGAATGCCAATTAGCAAACCGCTACCAAAAATAAAAACATTTTAGACAAGGAAATGGATCCCGAGCATTCATATTCGATCCCTTCCAAAAATTTCGTGAGCGTCTGGGCCTAATTTTGCGATTCAGCCCATTAGCCGTCTTGTGGTTCTCATTAGGGTTGGATTATTTTAAGAGTGAGGTATCTTTTGGCAGGTTTGAATGAAGCTAGATAGATACGAATCCCCACATGGTCTGTAATTACCGAGAGCAAATGTCGGCTTCTTCCTTTGACGCGAAGTTTGACCGTTCAGCCTCTGCGTTTCGTAAAACTTGAATTTTGGAGGTTCAAAAGGACAAAGAACAGGCAAAAAAAACTAGGTATCTACCTTCTTGCTTATAAGTTCCGGGGTATCGATTCGGGACCAAGTCCATCTAGTGCAGAATTTTTCGCTGATTCCGAATCTGTTTTCCAAATTTGGTACAGGCTGTTATTTTCAAGGTTATACGGCAATTATGGCCCGGGTTTTCTCCAAAATGAAGGTATCGTTATACTTTTCGATTTTCTTGATTAAGTTAAACGTCAATGGCTAGACAAGCATCCCACAGGTCAAAACAAGCTTTTTAGATAAAAAATCAGATTTTTTTTATGCAAATAGCAAAAGAAGTAGTGCCCGGCGGGGGTTCGAACAGCCGCCCTGCGCTCGACAAGGGGGTACTTTGCCAATGCACAATGGTGCCAACTACGCGGCAGGCTGTCAGAGAGTACTTTAGGGCCCCTGGAGCGTAGACCTAAGCCCAAAAATGACTTTTTAATAAAAGTCCGTAGCACGTATTCCGAATCAGCGGCAAATTCTGCACAAGATGCACTGGGTCCCGAATGGAAACTCGTTGAGTAAAAACGCTTTACAGTTAGATGCATTAAAGAGTAGTTTTCCCGCCTTTTTCATATCGGGTACAAGGTATTCAAATACACTCTCGTTAATGCATTGAAAATTGCCAGGATGCCGAAAGAATTGAATCATTTATCGCCACATGTTGCGCAATTGCCGAAAATAGATTTCTGCCTCTTCCTGCGTGGCAAAGTGTAATCGCTCCCCGTCGGCATTTCGTAAATCCTCGATTTTAGCGGACGTGAATGGCTAAAATCAATAGTAGCCTGTTGTCAGCTTCTACCCTTCTGTTGAGCAGCCAAAAGAAACGCTTCCTGAGCTCATAGTCGACAAATATGAATAACCACATTTGGACGGTGATCTAAAACAATGTTATCATAAAAACCGTAAAGTAACCTGGAAAGATATAACAAAAAATTGGACGTATGTGAAGAAGGTTTGTACGTATAGTGAGTAATCGATGAGGAATTGATAGGTCATAATGTTCAGAATCGCCATGATTAGCTTGAAGGGGGCTAATCGAAGAAATAACCGCGATGCCGTGAAGTTAATTTGGGTTTTGAACCTAAAAATTGTTAAGTAAGGTATATTTCATCTTTGAAAGCATACCTCGCGTCAACAGTAGCATAACGTCGTTGATAGACATCTAGGTATTTATGGCGACAAGTGATATGGAGCCAGATGAAGAACTAAAGCTGCCACTGCGATCAGCACATTTATCTTACTGCTGTCGCCATAAATTGCGGAATATAAAAATTCGTATAGAGCAACCATTTTGGTAGAAGTTCTAGGTATAACACAAAGCCCATCGCGATGAACGTGGCGGTCTGAAACAGCTACAAACTACTGCATTTCAAGGTACTACCATCGCTAAAGCAATTCTCCGACCCAGGCAGCTTGTCTGGTGCTCTTCTTCGTAAGTTTCCAAGTGTCTGGCAGCAATATAGCGTTCGAAAGCTATGGCAAAAGTCATATTAACCGAAGCGCCAGCAACTATTAAAAATAGTTTATTAGTAGAAAATCCAAAAGAACTAACTAGTCTCCCCAACAAAAGAAATGCATTGAAACGCGATTGGATCGGTTAGGTATCCAGCCAGCTGAAGACCATGCCGTAAAAACCGAAAGAGTTCGGAGAGCAGCACGATTGATGGTTGATATAATAATATAAAGGTTAGGTTTGGGTGAAAGCGCTGCAGTAAAACATCAAAGAAACATTCTGTAGAATTACCCTTTTTGTGGTTAGCATACGTCGGAATACCATAAAACTGGCGAGCAAGAGGCAAAATAACAGCAGCTCGATGACCTGTATTCGTTACCTGGTTATCTGCTTTTTAGCCCACCATGAAATGCGTAAAATGGGCCTCCAAATAAGCAGGATGCACCAGCGCGCCATAGGTTGTCATCTTACGAAACAAAATTGGCATGGTATGTGACAAAAGGAAGATTAGAGGCTTTATCGACACGGTTTTGCCGAGCATATAATTTGGGGTGGCGGCGCCTGGGTCTCTGGGGGAATTAGGGAACTAGCTTCAGCACAGTTTTCAAGTAAAGACCCAGGGGGCCAATGATCCGCAGCCAAAAGATATTTGAGCCAAAAGACGATGGTACTAGCAAATCTCGAGAGACGCAGGTGACAGTTCACAATTTCGGCTTTGAAAGCAGACTCGAAGGAGAATGGCGCCTGTATCCGGGAAATTATTTTGCTCGAGACTGTAGCTCCAAAATCTACAAGTAAAAAATTGAAAGAGAGCGAAAAAGGCAGCAACATGTCCAGCAGGGAACATCCTCAACGGTAGGTAGCCATACGAAATTAAGTCGAAGTCTCTCCTGGCTGGCCGAGGAAAAGTTCTCGCAGGGGGTGCCGTTTCTCACGGGAATACTGCGGAAGAATCAGGTTTTCGCTGGAACTTCTATTTTCTGGCGATCAATTAGAGGCTGGTATGACGCTTTCTAGGGACGATGATGTGCTTGCAGCCAAGTTCTATTACCTGGTGGGTTACTCCAACGCCTGGTGGGCCAAAACGATAAAATTAGCATCGCGCTATTTGGTTGCTCGCAT